CCTGGCCAAAGCGACTGTCTGAGGCTGGAATGGGCACCTTGGAGAAATGGTTGGTACGTCTCTGCTGATCCTTTTCTCATTTCCCACTAAGGGCGAGTGGTGAAATCTTAAGGTGATGAAGATGGAGACCCCAGGTCTGTGGGAGAGAGCACAGGCGAGTTGAGTCAAGAGACTCCCATGTTGGGGTGGCAGGAGGACGGGTGCAAGGCTGGTGCAGAAAGTCCTTGAACGAGCAATTCCTCCGAGGGGTGCTCTGCAGTAACTGGGCTTTCCTGTGAAAGACTTCAAGTGGAAAAGTACAAAACATAATGTAATGGAAACCTGCATATCCAACCCCCAGATTTTTAAAAGTTAACGTTTGACTTATTGCTTCAGATTGCGTTTAGAGAGATAAAAGGTGACAAACTGAAGGAAGAACCTTTACCCCTTAGGGGTAGCCATGCTACTAAAGATGGGTTGTATTCTCCCAAAACCTGTTTTTACTAAAATATTCAAAAGTACTTTAACAAAGATTAGATGCATGTGACATCATTCCAATGAATTGTACAGGACAGACAAAGCAGTATCAAGTGCTGTCTTGCTGCTGTGGCCTTTTGTATCTAAACTTTTGTCACCTGCTTCCCCCCCACCCCACCCCGCCATGGTATTGATTTTGTTTATCTATGTAGGTACATGCGGTTGAATCCATCGCATTGAAAGAATAAATCATAATGTGTTCCTATGTTCCTCTGTTGATGAACGTTTAGGTTGTATACCTCCATAGTACAGAAGAGAAGAAGATTAAGGACCAAACCCTGCGGTACTCCAAAGTTTGGAGGTCAGGGAGCAGAGAAGGTACCTGAGGAGCAAAGAAATATGAAGATCAAATGCAAAGGGAGAGTGAATTCTTGGAAGCCAGGTGAGGAAACTGTTTCAAGGAAGCAGCAGCGATCAGTTGTGTCAAATCCTGCAGGAAGGATGAGGAAGATGAGGACTGTGACCTGACCCTGTATTTTGCAATGTGGAGACCATTGATAGCCTTGTCTGGAGAACTTCCTGTAGCATGGGGGAGTAGGGAGTTTCAAGAAGAAATATGGAGATGTCAGAGGCACAGAGGCAGAGGAGGCAGGGAACAGGTTTAGCATCTCAGAAACAGCAATTAGAAGAGCAGAGAATAAACCCAGGGACACCTTCAACAAAACTAGGTGCCAAGTATCCCCCTGAATCCCAGAATTCGGGTAGATGGGGGCCAAATCACCAACAGCAGCAAGAACAAAGTGGGAGCAGCTTTCATTCGAGTGCGAGGGGAGACAGGTAACTTCTTGTTCAATGTAAAAAACAATAACCAAACCAAAAAAAAAAAAAACAGTGTAGGAGAATGGTTGAATATGCTACCTTTTAAGGGAGGGAGGAGATATTTTAAAAATACAAACAGTTTAAGTTTTTTTTCAAAAGGAAAGAATAGCAACAACAACAAAAATAATTACAATGGTCATTTCTAGAGTAGGATTCTCAATCTCAGCACTATTGGCATTTGGGACCAGATAGTTCTTTGCTGTGCATTATAGGATGTTTAGCAGCATCCTTGGCCTCTACCTACTAGATGACAGTAGCAAACCTCTCTCCCACCCCTGCCCTGACCACCACTGTGATAACTCAGAACTCCTCTAGACATTGCCAGATGCCCCCCTGGTTGAGAACCACTGCTATAGAGACAGAAAGCAGGGAGGAGGGGATAGGAATGTAAACTTGACTTATGAACATGCCTTGCTTTAGTTTTTACTTTGGAACTATGCATCTTTTTACATAATTAAAAAGCACTTCTTCCAACCACATATAGTAGTTACTTTCCTCCTGGCCTTATATAACTGCAGAGTCGTCCATCATTGGGCTGAACTATAGTGCTCTCAACCAGATCTCTCTGCATTCACATTTGCCTTTTCTGTGTTTTACTGTTACAATAAGCACTGCAGTGAATGGACCTATGAAACTTCAGTTAGTATTTTTGCCAGTGTATCTTTAGAATCAGTTCCTTGATGTGAAAATTCTGGCTTAAAGGCTAAATGGATATGACATTTTATTAGCTGTTACTAAATTCCCCTTTGTAGTGATGAAAACCCCTCCCACCAAGAAAAATTGTTAAAAAATGGGCAAAAGACAATTCAGAGACAAAGAAAAGAAACATGATTTAAATCTTGCTCATACTAAGAGAAATGCAGATTAAAAACTACCTTGAAATACTGTTTCTCAAGTTTCTACTTGACAAAAATCTCAAAGTTTGACATCTTTGTGAGTAATGCTGTGTGGAAACAGGTACTTTCATTCTTTGCTAGAAACATCATTACAGCCTTCTTGTAAGGACATCAGTCATCAGATTAGGGGCCCATTCTGTTCCACTATGAACTCATTTTAACTTAGTTACATTTACAACCACCCTATTTCCAAATAAGGTTACATTCTAAAGCAGTGGGGATATTGACTTAAACTTTTCTTTTTGGAGAAAGGGGGGTGGGACACAAAAAAACCTACACACTGTCCAAGGCTTCTCCAGCTCTAAGCATTCTTTGAAAAGCTGGGATTGTCCTACAATTGCCCTGAAACTGAAAACTAAAAACAAGAAAGGTGGATGATCTTGTTTATACATTATAAAGCATCATCAATCCTCAAAACAATGTGGTATTAGTGCTTAAAGAGAAAGACCAATACAACAGAAGAGGAAGTCCAGAAATAGACAAATAACATAGGAATTTGTATCCAATGAAGAAAGCGTTTCTAATCACTGGGAGTAAAGTTGGACTATAATAGTGTTGAGACAACTGGATAGACATTTGTAAAACACCATCTACCAGAATGAACTTCAAGTAGATCAAAGGTTCAAATGTAAAAGGAAATACAAAAATGCAGAAGTACTCAAAGAAAATACAGGTGAATTCCTTTGATTCTTGAAGTTGGGCAGACCTTTCCAAATATTACTCAAAATCTAGAAGCCATGAAAGAAAATGTTGGTAAATTCAATAATAAAAATAAAAAGGTTGCAGAGCCAATTTTATTATAAGCAAAGTTAAAAGACAAATGACTATCCGAAAAAAAATATTTTACAACTCATAAAGGGCTAATCTTGCTAATATGCAGGGCTTTTGGAACTGGTTTAAACCACTTCATTTACACAATGAATATTATGTTTCTCTGGAAAGAAAGGAGGAAGATGCCTGTGTCCTGTTGAAGACACAGCTCCAGGACAGACTACTAAGCAAGCAGTGGGAGAGAGTATGTCTGTATTATTGTACAGATAGGGTGAGAAAGAAGAGTATATTTTTCATTTCTGTTTGCATAAATACTGGAAGGGGAACTGTGTGGACAGGGACAGTGGTGTGGAACTTGACTCTCAGTGCATATTTTTTCATATAGTTTTGATCTTTGAATCAGACTTACTAAAAAATAAAATGAGGATATGACCAACGGTAGTTGAGATCTCAGAAGTATTTTTGTCTGGATACCTCCAAACATTTGTTTTTAAGATTCCATTATTACCATTTTACCACAACCTGTTATTTGCATTGTAACTTTTTACCCTTTGAAATATAAATCCTACTTTTGTGAACCAATTTTGAGACATACTTGAAAGTGACTATCATTTTTGTTAATTAAATTTTTAAAAATCCAGCAATAGGTGACTGGTGAAATAAACAAAGGAGCATCATACAATGGAACACTATGGGTAGTTGTAAGGCCACCATTTTACTATCTAGGAGTTAATACTTTTGTTTTAATCCAGTTCTGTTTTTATATGCAGAATAGTTTTATTGTTCTACATGGACATACTATTGAAGATCTGAAAAATATGTTATGATGTAAAGAAAAAAGAAACAAGTTCCCCTGCCTCCCCCAATATTCCCCTTTTTCACTTTGGCCACATAGGGCACAATAAAACTTGTAGCATCAAGATCATAGCAAAACCCATTATTTGTGATTTATACCTTCTTAAGGAGGCCCCAGTGAGCTTCATTCAATCAATCCTGGAAGTCATATAACCTCCTGTGCTTTTCTCTATCCCTTTCTTTCAAAAAGCCCCATAAACAGGGACAATCAAACGAAGTATTAGTAAAGGACATAATTTCTATGTCACCACTGTTATCTACTTGTCTTAAAAGATCTCTGAGATAATCAGTGAGACTGATTTCAGGTTTTTCTTCTTTCTTACCTGGACATTAGAGCTGATACAATTCTGTGGTCAGAATATCAAAACAGACTCTTAGAATTGTAAGACCATAAGAGAGCATCTTAAGTGTTATTCAGACTTCTTTGACTGTAACTCCAATAAGATATGCTTTCTTCTTTATAACTCAGAACATACAGACATATGCTTAACAACTTAAGTGCCTGAAGCCTACATTCCGGAAAGCCGTATTTATCCTTACAATGTGGCACTCTCTAATGCGTCTATTATGTTCCTAACAGGCCATGAAAAACACTACTTTAATCCATCCTCTTTGCTTTTAAATAACCAAATGGAAGCACAGAGAGGTAGAATAATGATTTAGATTTATCGATAAGTGGGCAGCGCCAGGTCTCCTTGTCCTTTTTTCTTTATATTCTTCTCCATTTCAGTGACCCCCTTGGTGACCTCAGTGA